CTGGAAGAATTAGAAGGAATTTTTTGTATGGCCATGCACAGCTCATAGACAAGGATAATGGCCAGATCATCATTGTAATGCCAATATTTGATCAAAAAACTGATCATCAGCTGAGGAACAGATAAATGACCAGGAATCAGTCTGCAGTTGGATACTTGGTCACCATTAATATGAATGAGAAGCCAGGTACAATAGAACCCATACATTATAATCCCAGCACTCTGGAGAATGAGGAAGGTGAATATCTGAGTTCAAAGCAAGGATGGTCTGCAGAGTGAATTCTAGACCAGCCATCCCTATTCAAAGAAACACTCTCATGTAAAATGCCAGGGGGAAAAAAAAGAATTGCAACCCTGTGGGAGCCCAGTTTCAGGTTCCTAGTGGCTTTACTCAGCAGGTCTGATAGAGAGGATGATTGGACCTAGGGCCTGAGTGCAGGTGTCTGAGAGGGTCTGCACTTGGCTGTACAGGTGGGAAGGTTTTTGCTCCACCCCCATGGCATTTCTATAAATACCTTAGGGCAGAGACAGTCAGGGCCCATCGAAATAGGTTCCAGGCCCTCTCGAGGCTGTCCTGTATTTTCTATCTGTTTATCTCTACTCTCCAAGTCCTTCTAATGGTTCTTGGTTCTCTCACTCAAGAAAACTCTGGGGAGCTGTGGGGTTGGTGGGTAAATGACCCACAGAATGGTGCCATGAACAGGGACTAAAGACAAAGGAATAGGGACTAAACAAAAAAGGGAAACAATAATAGTTTTACACGGAGTTTTTGGCAAAAGTATTGAGTTATGTCCTGCCGGGGGGAAAAGGGACATGTCCAGAGTAGCAATGCACTATATATATGGGCAGGGGTTTTATCCTGGATAGAAAAGAAAAAAAAGGACAGGAAGGATATCTGATGCTGCAGTGCAAAAATCTCCTCTATCAAGATTTCTGTCTCCTATCATTTGTTGAAGATGCTTTCTTTTTTCCATTGTACATTTTGGCTTCTTTGTCAAAAATTATATGTTCATAGGTGTGTGGGTTAATGTCAGGATCTTCAATTTGATATCATTGGTCCAGATGTTGGTTTTTATGCCAATACCAAAGGATACGGTCAACAAGGCAAAGCAACATCCTACAGAATGGGAAAAGATCTTCACCAACTCCACATCTGACAGAGGACTGATATCCAGAATATATAAGGAACCCAAGAAATTAGACATCAAAACGACCAACAGTCCAATTAAGAAATGGGCTATAGAACTAAACAGAGAATTCACAATAGAGGAAATTCATATGGCTCAAAGACATTTAAGGAATTGCTCAACATCCCTAATCATCAGGGAAATGCAAATCAAAACAACTCTGAGATACCACCTTACACCTGTCAGAACGGCTAAGATCAATAACACTGAAGACACTTTATGCTGGAGAGGATGTGGAACTAGGGGAACTCTCCTCCACTGCTGGTGGGAATGCAAGCTTGTACAACCACTTTGGAAATCAATATGGCGCTTTCTTAGAAAATTGGGAATCAATATCCCCCAAGATCTAGCTATGCCACTCTTGGGCATATACCCAAGAAATGCTCAATCATACCACAAGAACACTTGCTCAGCTATCTTCATATCAGCATTGTTTGTAATAGCCAAAACCTGGAAACAGCCTAGATGCCCTTCAACTGAAGAATGGATAAATAAATTGTGGCACATATACACAATGGAATACTACTCAGCAGAGAAAAACAA